GGCTTATATGTTTCTCTACCTCCGATAAGCAAATCCAAATCTCATGATTCATAATCAGAGATTCGAGACGTAATCCAGGGCTCTAATCTATTGTCCTGATACTCGGACCAAGTCTTTCTTTCCACGCCTCGATCGTAGCCTTCCACTATTAGAAGTATAAATAGATTAAATATAGAATTTGTTAATTATTGTTAGTGTGACCCTTATCTGTTATCTCGCGCACATCGGTTTCGGAACCAGTCCTACGTGCATACATTGTAACAGGGTAAATCTAAAACTATTAAGTTTTTAAAAAATCATTATCAAATCCCCGTTAGATGAAGTTAGGTTGACACATTAAATTTGGTTAGAGTCTTTTGACTTAGAGCTCTATATTATGTTATAGGCTCCAAGAACAAGTGTCATGAAACGCTCACGATAACTTTACTAACCTATTAAAACTTACACGTAAACTAATCATATGAATATGTTTAATAAATTTTTAAAAAAAGGTTGTTTGGTCTTCGTTTAGTTTTGCCGGTATTATTCAAACAATATTCAGAACGGAGTTGCTATAGATATAAGAATAAAATCTGTATAGTTTTAATTTATTAACAAAATGTACAGATTTTGTCTTATTTTTAAATATAACAGCGACTCCATTCTGAACATTTTTTGAATAATATCGACAAAAAATCAAAAACTTTTTTTATGAGGTATTTTTTGTTCAGTTATTACGATCTAGTCGACGATACTACATACTTTGTTTATGTTCTTCTGTGATCTTTATTTTCTTTTTAGATCAATAAATAAATAAAAAATCTTGATTTGTTAATTGAAACTTATGCGATAAATTCACAAAGCTTAACTAAATTTAACAAAACTTTTGTTAAATAAATCCAATTTATTGAATTGATACAAAAAAAAATTTTATTAATTATCTACTCAAAGTTTCAAGAGAAAATTTGGTGCATTCACACTCACTCATCCTCATACTTGCAATCATTGCGCTATTCGTTCAGCATCCATGATACACAAGGTTTGTTTTTTCACTTTAGTGAGTTGCTTTTAACAGACAAGATAAATACTTTTAAATAGATTATGTAAGACAATTAGATCTCACTTTCTACGAATATTTAGAAAGTAAAAAAAAAAAGAATGTGATTATTTTAACTCACCTCATTTTTGAGTGAGGTACTCGAGAACGCCCTGAGCCGATAAACTTTATAAATTTTATCGGTCGCAAAATTTAATTGACCGAGATCATTATTTACCGTTTTATCGTTACGTATATTTTAAAAGTACTGTAATAATCTGGCTGGTCAAAGTTAGATTAATAAATTGAATTTGTTCGTATCGGTATATTAGATTTAATGAATATAAATTTACAGTAATTTCTTATCAAATTTCTTAATCGCATCAAAGTTTCTCATACACGTATCAAGATTTGTTATACGTATCAGGATTTTCTTATTTTGAGATCTTCTACATCGAAAAAGAAAACTTAATAACCAAATTTAGCATTTTACTAGCATGTCATTAAATAATATATAACTTTTATTTAATCAATTGATAATGAAAAAAATATCAGTATAAGACTTTTATAAAAAGAAAATTTACAAATATATGCAATATTACATAACTCACTAATGATCATTCATCACTTATTAAGATAATAACTAATAGAATTAAGAAAATCAAATGCACATAAAGTCAGGTGACAAAAATTACATTATTCAAATAACGATAACGATAATCTACGTAATTAATTAACAGTTATATAACAGATAACAGTTAATGTTATAGTACGTACAGTATGTTAATGTTGATTTTAGGATATTAAAATACTTAAAATATTCAAATATATATATATATATATATATATATATTTCAAAATTAAACAGATAAAAGTCCAACAAACCCAATTAAAAAAGCGCAAACAACACTTAGAACCATCCATGAATAAGTAATTTCACCACCTCTATAAATACCAGAATTTTCCAAGTTGCTATGAGGAGGTTGACTATGCGTTTCTTTAGGAAGTTCATTTGAAGGATTAAAAGTTGGTTTAATTGAAACAGGTTTTGTAGGAGTTATAATATTTGATAAAGGAGGAGTTGTTGCCTGATGAATATTATTAGTAATGTCTACAATTGAAGAGGTTGGAGTAGAAAGGCCATTCAATAATCCTGAAATGCCGCCAATTGATTTTCCTTTGTATTTAGACTTTGTAGGTTCTGGTTCGACAGTTGATCTTGACGGTATCAAACCTTTTGTAATCTCATCTGGATTTGGTGGTTCAAGTTGCCGCAATGCAACTATAAAGTCTAATATAAATGCAAAGAATATGAGTAGGAACATGAAGGTTGTTAAAGAATTGTGAAAAATGTTCATATTGTTTCTTTTTTTACGTGAAATTCAAAGAGAATTTGTGAAATAATGTAAGGTTTTATTACTTAATGGAAGTCAACATCAACAATAGTTTGAGATTTGATGAGACATAGAGATGCATCAATACATCACATCATTGATTAAGAGATGATGATAATAAGTCATTATTCTATTGTTTTATCGCGCATCATTTCGTACAGCTTCATAAACTTGAAGGCACTTTAATAATCCTTGTTCATGAGCATTATTTGCACCAGTAAAGAAAGCACTTTCCTTTGTAATCGAAAGAAACTCTTAATATGTACGTGTTAAAAGCGGACTTTTATGTGTAAAGTAAAGAAATAGGTTATTTCTTCTATAATATCGATTTTTTTGTTAAATTTTACGTTTTTTTTTCATATGGGAGGATTAGGAGATGATTAGGAAAAAAAAAAATTGAATGAAGAATTTTGAAAAAAAAGAAGTTTCAGTCTAATTTTGGATTTTGACATTGGGAATTCGGAAAGCTATATTTTTACATAATGTTTAGTTTAATTTGAGCAACATCTAATAAATAACTACCCAATTTTAATTATTACTATTGTTGTTTTTATTATTATTACTTTTTTTCTTTTTTTGGTGCTGCAATCTCTTAGTCACGGACCTTCTATATGGAAAAACTTTTTCAAATGTTTAAGCACTTTGATCGCGATCCTTCCATATAGAGAAAAACCTTAAAGTGGTTGCCTCCAACCAACGTTGTACCTTGACTCGTTAATGAGAAATTTTGTAATAAAAAGATATATGATTATTAATATGAAATCTATCCATAGCAAATCTTATCATAACTAACCAACTTTAAGTCTTTTATTTTTTTTTGTGTCGCAATACTTCAATCGCGGAACTTCTATATAGAATAATTTTTTAAAAAATCCTAGCATTCTAATCGCGATCTTTCCATATAGAAGAAAACTTTAAAGTGTTGCAACATTCATTTACCTTTAATTTTGTAACACCTTTACTTATGAAAGAAAAGTTGTAATAAACATTATTAATAATATGAAACTACATAATAAACATAACATAATTATAACGTGGATTTAAATGAAAATATTATTTATTAGATTACATTGTGTAGTAGTTTGTCAATTTATATATATATATTCGCGCTAAAATATAATTTTTAAAAAGACCGTATTTATTAATATAATTTGAAAGTTACACCATTTGTGATATATAGAATTTGTGATATATAATTTATATAATTGAATTATTATAACAGATAAAAAGTTTATTTTATAATAGACTATGTATACACGCATTAATTAACACCAAACTTATATAAAGCTTATACAGTATCATAGAACCCTTAAGAATGTCCTTTGTAAATGCACACGTTTTTATTTAAAAAAAAAATGCATGTTTATGTCGAATGTTTACTGTAACGATACGTAATTACTGTAATATGCAGTATATCTTATTTAAATATTAAAATTCTAAGTATAATTGCAACAATAAATTACAATACTTTAATTGAAACATTGGATTTGTTCTCAAATATCTTTCTTTATATAGCATATACAGTCTATATACGTTCACTTACTTTTTTTAAAAAAGGTTAATTCTTAAAAGAATATGTATTGTGAACAATTTAGGAAAGAATTTTTTTTTAAAAAAACTTGTGATTAGTGGTATATTAAAATATATTGTAAGACTAAATAAAAAAACAAATACTAAATACTTAAATTACTTAAATCTATATTATCAATAAATTATGAGATGAACAATTTTTCCGGGAAATTCTATGGTTAAACAAGACTTTTTGGAACAAGCGTTCTGCATGAAGATCATAAAAAAAAAAAAAACCGATATTTGCACAGAAATAAATCGAAAATCTTGCAGATTGGAATTTATTTTTTGCATAAGTATACAACACATGTACAGTATATTATATTTATACATACAGGGTATAAACAAAGGACTTAATAAAATTTCAATGTATTAATAGTAATTAATCTACTTCTAATACCTTTATTTGTTGATGTGAACAAAGGTACGTTAATAACAAAGAATACATATGCATAATCCTTGCGTATTTAGAAGAGTTATGAAAACATCAATTTTTGACAAAATGCAATCATTCGATGAGAAACCATGTGATATACAGTGGTATACACCATTATTAACCTAATTTCTGATTGGATTATTTTTAATCTTTGTTGTAAATCTCCCTTGTTCAATATTCTCATGTATGGTATCATTGACTGTAATCCAACTTTATGATTTTATTTTGTGCAAACCGATTTTATTAATCCTTTATGTAAATCTTTTAAGGCATGGTAGATGTGACTCTTGCTTACAAAGCGCATAAATATGCTCTAATTTTTTATAAATATCGGAACTAATAAACTATTAATGTCCATTCAAGGTTCTAAGCAAAATAATGAGGTGTCCGTTAGCATACTCATTTCGAGAACAGTAACTGGTTAAATTATTACTGTTTTTTTCACTTTCTAGTTGTTTGTTCCTTCTTTATAAATTTCACGTCCTATTTTAAACATTTTTTTACGAACCTTCAAAAAATAAAAAAAAATAAAAATAAAAAAAAATAATAAAGAACTTTTTTACCTAAAAGATAAAATAGAATTCTAATGGACTCTAATGATGTCAATACAATGGTTGAAGCCATTACGCATCCACTACAAGAGTCACACTCACTACAAGAGTCACACTCATTACAAGAATCACATTCTCTTCAAGAATCACATTCACCTCAAGTGTCATGTTCACTTCAAGAATCACATTCACCTCAAGTGTCATGTTCACTTCAAGAATCATGTTCACTTCAAGAATCATGCTCACTTCAAGAATCATGTTCACTTCAAGAATCATGTTCACTTCAAGAATCATGTTCACTTCAAGAGTCTCTCCAGCTTCAAGAGCTTCAAGAGCCTCAAGAGTCCCGAGAGACACCTCCACTTCAAGAATCCCGAGAGACACCTCCACCTCAAGAGTCTCAGGAGACTCCTATACCTCAAGAGTCTCAGGAGACTCCTATACCTCAGGAGTCCTCTCCATTTCAAGAATTATCTCTTACCTTCACTCATTCATTACAGGAACTATCACCAATATTAATACATCCATTACAAGAATCTCAGTCTATATTAACTCATCCACTTCAAGAAACATTAACAAACGTTGAACATCCTTCTACAACTCCATCATTAACTGCACAAATGACTATACTTTCTAATGATATACATATTTTTCAACGTGAATTTTTACCTTCGTATTATTCAGCGATAAAAGATATGCCTCCAGTATATAATCCAAATGTTAACGAAGAAAATAATACAATTATAACGATAGCTCCTAATAATCAAAATGAAACTTTTCAACTTCAACCTCATCATAGAATTGACCCTTTTCAAATATTTGAACCCATTCAACCTCAAGAGAACACATTGTTAATTAAAAATTTTTATTTTTATGGTTTCATATTTTTACCTTTTTGGTTTATTGGTGCTTGTTATCTATTTTCGAAAGATCCGACTTATCGAAGATGGGCTAAACGATGTGTTTGTAATATTATGGTTGTTTTGGCTATTTTTATTTATGTAATCGTATCATTAAGTCGTACTGACGGAAGATGGGTTTAAAAAAAAAATGATGATTGTTAAAAAATGTGCTTAAAAAAAAAAAAGTTGAAAAATAATCTGTGGATTTTCGGAATACGTATTTTATATATACACACATACATGCGTAATGCTTAAACTTATGCCACAGGGTAATTATTTATTTCTTTAACTATTAATATCGAAATGTTTTGTTTTATTTCAAATAACTAATTTCTTTTCTTTTCTTAATATGATAATCATAAGGCTTATATACATTTAAATCGATCTTTAGTGCAATTTCTATGCTATTCCCGTGCTTCCCTAGTAATCATTAGCTTTTTACAAGCTAATCCCATATGTATAAAGAAATATATGTAATTATGCGTGCTGACAATTTTTTTGTAATCAGCATAAAAAAACAGATAAGATAACGTATAAGGTTTATAATTACAGTTAATAATGTAAGCAATAAAAAAATTTTTTAAAATAAAATTATTTTGCGGCAACTACGATTTTAGATCTAAGTTTTTATTAACAATGTAATATGTTTGAGTTACCAATTCTTATACTATATAGTAGAACAAAAAGTTTAGTTTACTAAAAAATAATATATTAGTCAAAATTCTGTGATCTCTAAACTGTGGTGTAGATACAAATTATTTTAAAAATAAATGTCTTCAAGCTGTTTGCCAACAGGTCACGTTAATCTGCTCAATTTAGCGTTCATTGTCGAGATCGCAGTCACATGACCTCTAATAAAATTAAAAATTCTGAAACCGAAAAATTTGAAAAATGCGTACGGTATTGGAAATCATGTGACAACGTCCTCGATTATTGGCAACGTTGTGAACCAACCACCATAACTTTGAATGCTATAACGTCTCAGATGGTTATTAATTTAATACCTGCATACTATGTCAACTCCTACCTATCATCCCTGCATCTACCAATGTACGCACATCTGTTTATTAGCTTTTATCTGATTTTTCCGACATGAGTGCATGTCAGGGAAATGTAACGAAAAATTATTTGCAAAATTTGGAAAATTTCGGATTTTATCCAGCTTTAAATTATTATTATTATTATTATTATTATTTAATAATGATTTTAAAGTCAAAGGCCAATTCAAATTGATTAAACGTGATCTATAATAATATGGTTGAAAACTCCATAAATTTGGTTTTATCGTTATTGAACAGATTTAGGTCTAAAATTTTCATGTCTCCGCGATGAGATCTTAGTCAATATCTTATCGCCTAGTTAGCTGTTAGCCAAAGTTTCATATTTACCGAAATTTATTTTCATATCTGCAGAATTATCGCCGAATTTTTTTTTGCCGAAAATAACATACTTTTTTTCAAAAAAAAAAAAAAATTTAGGCACATATCTATATCTAAAGCATAATTTTTGATCAGTTCTAAGCGTATAACGATAAGGCTACAAAAATTTCTCTAAAAAATCATGTATTATTTATCAAAAGTGATTTTTGTCTAATTTTAGATATGTATTACTGTAATCTTAATTTTCGGAAAATAGTATGTATTTACAGTACCTCGGTTCTTATATTCCTGGGCCGTAAAAATTGGTTAGTACCCTTCAGTGGGGCTGGTAATTTATTACGTATTTAATTTGACTAAATTGAACAGTGGGTACTTTTACGTAACAATTTACCGAAATTTACGATATATACCTTAATAAAAAAACCTAACTTACCATTGGTGCGGACTCTAAACTTTTGAATCTGTGAACCAATAGCATTTTAGATCTTAGGATTTAATAAATATAATAAAATGTGATCCTTCAAAGAAATTATATTATTATACATATTAGGTAAATTTCTGATAAGATTCGTATTAGGCTGAACAAATAATTCGAATAAACAAAATTTACACATCACTTAAATATCTGTCATGTAACTATATATCATTTTTAATAATACAGTAAATTCGTCGAATATCCAAATATAAATATGTATTAATCGGAATAATTCGGATATCATGGAAAGTAATAAGTCTATGCTAAAATCTATGTTAAGATCTATACTCGAATTTATGAATATTAGAGATAAGAAAAGTATCTGTGCGCATTAATCTCCATTGTATTTAAATATGTCCCTGAATTTAGGAACCAATAATGATAATAATTCATTATGGTATTCACTGGTTAAATTACATATATGAATACAAAAAAGTCGATATATGTGTACTTACCATTCATGATTTTCACTTTTTTACGTGTATAAAATCGAATATTATGTTATCTTTCACTTTCTTTTCAAATGTTCAATATGTCTTTCTCTCTAAGTATTTTTTATACGTCTTATATATGAATATGCCATAAATTTTTGACGATGAAAAGAGACCGAAAATTAAAGAAAAGGTCTCCGGATTCCAATGGAATTTCAGAGAGTATAAATTTACCCGACAATTTGAGTTCTACAGATAGTGTTGAGTCTACAGATGAACAATCTACAGAAAGCTATACATCTGCATCTGTAGGCTTTATCGTAGAAGATACTGGTAATGATAATGGAGCTTCCACAGGCATACAAACCACAAATGGTAGTGATACTGAAATATCCCCGGACACTAACGTACCTATGGACGTTTTAGAAAATGATGTTGGAATAATTACTTCATCATCAATATCTTTACCAACTCTCATAAACACTCCTTCCATTACTCAAATACAAGTTGATTCAACAAATTCAACATTATTGACATCGCAAATTCCATCAACATATACCAATTCTATCTCTGTTATAACTTCATCAACATTACCGTTAATTACTTCAAATGTTTCAACATATACTTCATCTATCATATCATCTCAAACTGGAATAACAACCTCATCTCCTACATCAACCATCAACCTACCGATGCCCATCTTCGTCACAAATCCGGTTGGTATTCCAACTGAATCTAATAAATATATAAGTCCACTTGATGTCAGATCTCCCTATTACATACCTACTATAGGTGGCATTTTAATCACTATCATTATCACTATTACATTATTATTTATTATAATTAAAAAGACTATATTTATTGAAACAGTTAAATTTCAACGAAATGCAACTGATTGTTTAGTAGTTGTAAATGATATTGATAGTATTAACAATAATGATAAAGAAATTAAAGAAATTAAAGAAATTACTATATTATCATAAAATCAAATCAAACATAACACATATATATATTAGTTTTTTTTTTAAAGTTAATTTGATATATATATGAATAGGATTTTTGATATTTCATTATTTATTATATAAAAGAACATTTCTATTTTTAGTTATCAAATATTCTATAAATTAAAGATATATGTTACGTATTATACAGTATATATTTATCTTTTTGATCTGTATTTTAACTATATTTTAGTTAAAAGTTATTTAAAAAAATAACTTAGTATATTTGTATAACTATATATATATATATATATATATATTACAAATAAAATATCTATAAACCAATTTTGTACGTATAAAATTGTATAAAAATAATTTTGTAATTGATAGCGGGATAATAAATATTTTTCAATACGAAGGGATTACGTAGCTTAAAAAATCGGTAAACAAATGTGGTAAAGTTATTTACGCATACGTATTTAATTTGATCATATTTGCAAAAAAAAATAGTATGTACTAAAACACACTAATTAGTGTTCATTTGGATGCCAAGTCTAACTCTCATCTAGACTAGACTTCCCTAATGCAGCCCCCCCCCTTAACGTTAAATGCAAAAACTCTTCTAAGTGCAAAGGTATTAAATAATTTTTATCGTTATCAATTATTTATTCTTTTTAGTGTAAAATTTTAAATTAACAAATTTAGTATGCTATTTATTTGTTAACCCTAAACTTAACAGAATTTAAATATATATTATGAAACTCTGACAAAAAACTGAAACATTTATATCGATGTATATACACTAATTAGATAAGCCAACAAAAAATTTAATGTAATAGCCGAGCCTCGACCTGAATCATTAGTATTACATTAGCGCAAGTGACTTTTCGCAAACCTAATATTCGGTTTTAGATCTATAAAGTTTTTTTTGTTTTTTTTTTGTGTAGATGATAGTATTAAGGTTTTATACTTAATGGGTTACTTATTTGCTGCGGTAATACAGAGCCAAAGAAATCATATATTGTTTATAATTATTAATTTTATAATTTTATAATTTTATATATGGATGAACGTGTACGGTATTTAATATCAGATATAGATTTGGAATACGTATATTATTTAACTAAAAGTTTATATTCAACATTTCAATGAATTAAATCTTCTCTTATAATGTTTTAAATATAAAATATCAGATATAACTCATCAGGTGAATTCTTCATTTGTCAATTTTCTTTAATACATTTTGAATTTTACATTTTTAAAACTATTAATCTTTTAGGGAGTAAGTGTAATATTCAAGTTCATGAATTTGTATTTAATTTATTTATATTCACGTTAATTAATAGATAAGTATAAAGAACTTACTTAATCCAAGCATTTAAAATAAGCTATTTAAGTTATGAATATTTACTATTTTATTTATTTTATTCACGTTAATTTAGTAGGTGAGCATTTATTAATCAAAGTATTTAAAATAAGTTAGTTATTCAAGTTCAGGAATATTTATTGTTTAATTTATTTCATTCACGTTAATTTAGTCAATGAGTATAAAGAGCATTTATTAATCAAAGCATTTAAAGTAAGCTATTCAAATTCGTGACTATTACATCGGTAATGTATGTCCCTTACTTTGTTATTTGTATACTGGAGCCCAAATGCTGAATTCTTCTATATGTCTTTTTCTTCAGATTAAAGATAAGTCCTTGAATAACTAATAAAATACTTACAATATACCAAGGATTTCTACTGTCTTTTTACAAGATTGGTTCTTTCCAAGTACCGGTATGTGTGAATTTTTGTAGTAAAATGTTTATGTTCTTGCAATTATAAACTCAATACACTTTTCTTAAACTTTATTCTGTATTTTAATTAACATGCATTGAGCAATTTTCATAAAGTTCGGACATACTTTCCCTAATATTTTTTTCTTGTACTAACTCAGAATTATCACTTATTACTAGTAATTGGGTCCCGCTAACACTAGTTGACAAAAGAAAAATTTAACACAAATCAGAAAAGTAATCAAATACAAATCAGAACCACTCCACCACTCAACCAACTTTCAGATATACTTTAAATTATCTAAAATATATTTAAAAGAAGGTTGAATTGCAGCTGTATGACACCAAACAGATTCTGACTTGTTTCGTATCTGATCACTTTTCTGACTTGTGTCAGATTTTTTCTTTTTTCAACTAGTGCAAGTTAGGAAATAGATATTTCACCTAATTCAGAGCATGATTCGTGTGCAAGTTGAAACAAATATTCTATAAATAGGGGTAAAATTGATATATATTCTGAAATACTGTAGATAGCATATTACTATTTGTTATTATATTTCATTAAATTTTTCTTTAAATCTTCAATACTTGATTTTTTTTTTTAATAAGTGGTTTTTCCGACTTCTCCAACTCGAAGGCAATATCAAACTGGTGTAAAATAAACCATGTTTGTCTCTATCTGGAGGTCGGAACAGATAATTTAATTCAACTTTAAATTCATGTTAAACCGGTAAATTGGGTTTATAGTAAAAATGTTCAATTCTGTTGTAAAAATCTGATAAACCGGTTTAAAATTAAATTCTTATTATAAAATATATATATTACACACAACCAGATTTAAATTCGGGTTTAGAATTTCAACCGGTTCCGACCTCTACTCTACGTTATACAATTTAAACAAATAATACATGCATATCGTCAGGAATCATTAAAGTTGCTATCTTTGTGTGGCTTCACATTGTAAGCAATTTCGTTTCTGCATATAGATTTTCAGAACTTGCAAGACCAGGATCAGAGTACCCCACCAGTTACATTCACATGAATAGTTTCGTCTAATATTATTTATATCAATAACCAAACCAGAATATTTCCATTCAGATTATTAATACTTGCTGATTCAATAATAAATGAATACCTTATTTTAATTTTTTCATACTCTAATTCCATAACCGTAACAACAACCAAACCAGTATATCCTATTTTGGATTATTCGTACCTACAAATTTTTAACAAGGCCACTCCAAATTGATTCTTCATTTAACATAACATTAAATATAATATAAGAATGGGGGAGGGCACAAAAAAAAAAAAATACAACAATTCTATTGGCTGTAAAAAAAATAAAAGTTAATATGCAATTTGATTGGTTAATGCGATGTGTATTTTTTATAAAATTTTGAAAAATGAGAGATTATATTAAACGAAGAATTAAATTGGTTTGGCCTAATGAACATAACGAATAAATGCACTTATTTTTTATCTTAAATTCTATAATCAAATAAATAACCAAACTAGAATATTTCACCCATATTATTCATACCTGCCGATTCAATAAAAAAATAAATATATATTTTTATCTTTGAATTTTAATTCTATATTCATAATGATAACCGAACCAAATACCTCTTCAGATAATTCATATTTGCAAATTTTTAATAATAATGAAATATCCTTATTTTCATTTTTCTTAAATTCTATATTCGAATTAATCACCAAATTAGGTTATTCAATCCAAGTCATTTGCTCTTGTAGATTCGGTAATAAATAAATGCCTTCTTTCATTTTTCTAAACTCCAGTTCCGTATCCATGACCATAACAATAACTAAGCTAGAGTATTCTGACAGGATAGTAGTTGTTTATACGGAGTGCATCTACCAATGTTTTACCACCTTCATCGCGGATCAAATTGTTTTTTAAGTGATAACATTTTTAGATAGTTATTGGATTGAATGACGCCTTTTCACTGTTAACCTCAAATCACCTCTTCTTAATCTGAGAAAACTTATAGAAGAATAAGAATTAAATGCTTTGCGTTCAATGGAAAATAGACTCGAGATCACGATTTTAGGGCCTCGAATGAGGCACACGATTAAGGGTATATGGGTCGTTTTCTAGGAAAACCACAGATTGAAGGGTAGTTTTAATTTTGAGAAAAATGCGATTAAACTTTAAGTAGCACAAAATTTAATCGCATTTTTCTCAAAATTAAACTACCCTTCAATCTGTGGTTTTTCTAGAAAACGACCCATATGAGGATAATAATAATCGTTGTATTTAATTGAGTTATTCGTGTATAAAGACACGATCAATTACTTTATTAATAAAACGCACGAACTGCCAATTTCCCAGTGGAATATTGGGGATTCTATTGAGATAAAATAATAAATATATAAACGATAATAATAATATCACGCACATCGTAAATGTGTACAAGGTTGACCCCGGAAAATCAAGTGATAGTCCGGAAACCACCCCGAATATTGTAATTTTTTGAATGAAAAAAATACATTTTTACAACTTAGAAAATACATTAATTTTTTTTATTTTCAGTAATGTTATTTGATAAATTATGTGCTCTTTTTGAAGTTTTTCTCTTTTTGCGTGGATTCATTACAGTCGTATCAATATTTTCTTTAGATTTCTTATGTTTTCTTCGTTGGACAGATGCTGGTTGTACCCGGATCTTAGCTCCACTTCGTATCGATTCAGCTTGTACAATAGAATTTCGTTGATATAGATAAGAAGCCAACTTTCCACCTGACAAAGATTCGGCTTTTTCATATCCTTTTTTAAAGTATTCGAAACCTGCAAGTAATTGACTATTATTCTTTATATCATCTAAAATTCGGTGAAAAAAATTTTCAATCACTTCAACACGTGGATTCATATCTTCGACATTCATAGGTTCACTTAATATATTAAAAAATTTTTTTTTTAGCAATGAAATTTTTAAATATTTATTATATGTAGTATTTATATGCCAAATTACCAAACATGAGTACTGCAGTCAGTAGATGTATCTTCGTTCAAACTCTGAATGCAAGTAGTATCTTGTATAGATATTTTAGTTAGTTGGTTATTTTCTGATATAAGAGGTGCATGTAAAGATGCATAAAATGCTGGGTCATTCACAACGGTCCCTTTTAAAAATATATTTTAATAGTTAAGAATATGATTTTTTTTTATATAAATAGAACATATAAATGTATTTATATTTACTTACCACAGGCAATATATCGATAGATTATACAATCATCAATGGAAAGTGCGGGAATAAAATTAAATGATCCTTCATGATACTTAATTGCAATGGCAGCCTGATGCTTGCAAGGTGACCCTCCAAGCACAGCAAAGCATGTGCAAGTTCCAATAGATAGATCATCAGTATAAAATTTTTCAGTAGTTGTTACACTTGGTACAGTATATACATCATTAATTATATTATATCTAATTTCCCCCTGATTTACATTTGTCCAGCCTGAACAAAGAAACCGCTTTGATATTACTAATTGACCTGGATGTCAATTAGCAATACCTAATAATTGTCATTCATAAAAACGTTTAATATTTGTTACAATAATTGTACAGCATTATAAGCTTGAGTTCTTCCAAAGATAATAGCATCAACAAACTAAGACATTTAAAAATTACACCAAAACAAGCAGTCTATATTATAAATAATGTTTTACTCGCTTGTATAGTTTATCAACTCCAATGTACCTACCTTAACAATACACAAATGACCCAAACCACTAGCAGATATACAAGCCTAGTCAAACACAAGGCTGGCTTGGCAAAATCGGTACCCAACTTTACAATTCATCACCCTGATATCTACGCACTCAAGACACTGAAGCAAATACAACAACAACAGCATATCCAGACCCTGGACCGAGTAATAAATTCTCTAAACTTCAAAAAATCTTCATTTAAAATTAGACTTCAACAGCTACAGAATGTGGCACTTACCAATAAATCGATCTTGGAGAAAACTCTAGTATTCCCAAGCAATAAAAATAAGACCCATATGGCTCAAGCAATCCTTACTTTGCATACACTACAGATTAGTCTTATATGTAAAGCAAACAGTTGGCCCATACCTCATGAAGCAAGGGGCACCTCAATTAACAATATGATTAGCTAGCTTCAATGACCACATGCTATTAAAATATTTCTAAACAAACATCACATAGGCTATATTGAACAATTCCTAAATATATATAACAACCTACTATTAAAGTAAAAACAATTCTACCACAATATAAATAAAATACCACATGAAAGAACATCTAAATGGTTTTAAACAATTTGAACTCTAATAGAAGACAACTCCAACCTGCAACCAATCTAATATATTCTAACCCATTCTTTAATAACAAAGCTGCTCCACACAAAAATACTTGGACCATCACCACCATTAAATTCATAGGCAAAATATCCAGTATTCAAAATAATATTATAACAATACAACATTACATGTTGGATCACATATCTCAAACTCTAAAACAATGCACAAACTGTATTCAAAATAAAAAAAATCTGTGCAAAGCAAAATGCATATTTCGTTTTTTAACAAACTAGCTATACCAAATCCAGATTGACAAAAAACACCAAATTCATATCCACTTACCAAGCCTCTTTACCAAAATTACTCAAGCAAATACACCTCTAGTTCCAACACTTATCAGCCTACCCACACCAAGCTACAGAATGACCGATCAGTTTTCACAAATATTCACCAATAACCAATCTACAGTATGGTCTATATTTACACAAACATACTTTAACAAAAAGATCCAAGTCCACATATCCAAGTCCGCCTTACATAAAAACAACCCAACTATATATGCCACTTTTGTAGATCCAAAAACAACCTGGTTAATCACAAATACAAACTGGCACTCACCAATCTACTCAACACTCACTACCGTTGCTCTAATACTAACAATAAGTCCACCCAAAGCTATTATTAATATCAGTACAAATTTTACTTCACTATTCCAATTTATTACTATGGGAACCTATGACTAGCATAAACAGCGGAAAGATAACTTCAACTGGCTCAAACAGATAATTGATGCTATTATAATAGCCAAAAAAATAATGATGACATCCAATTTCTTTAGCAAAAAACCTCCCAAAACTAACATACCACTATTCAAACTCCAAATCGATCTTAATCCTAGCCCTATCATACAATCATCCTTTATACTAAATTTAGTGAATATATCCAGTACTTACTCAGTACACCAGTTTACTAAAATCTTTCTACAGGCCCAAGCTTGATCGAATTGGCTTTACCAAGAAAGAATCCTTTGCTTGAATCAACATAGTGCTAACATCAACTGGAGGCTAACGTTTGACCAGATTAATTTCAAAAATAAGCCACTTTAAAGATATACCAACCCTAAACATGCAAAACTAAAAGCTTTTTAAAACAAAACTAATAACTAATGAATTACTTACTTATTTTGTAATGTTTGACAGAGACCCAAAAAATTATCTGAATCTGTTTTGTGCAAAATGCCCTAACCAAATCGAAAATATACCACATCTAATATCTTGTCCCAGTAACCAGAACTCACTCAAAGAAATCATTACTCAAGTCGTTAACAAGATTTGCAAAAAACATATGGTGACAGCACCATGCCTTGACTAGTT